CCCCCACCCCCCTAAGCGAAAACCCCCCAAAAAAAAAAAAAAAAAAAAAAAAAAAGAACTGAAGGCTCACCTGCCCTTCCTCAGTCACACACATCCCCAAAACAGTCTATCCCGTTGATTCACCCTGAACAGTATTTCTGTCACTGGAGGCCAGATACCGTTCTAACAAGGCTCCCACTCCAGGACTCAGCCATAGTCTTCTAGGGTGAAGAGAAAGATGAGGTAAATCACACCCCATGCCTGGCTTCCCAGAAGGTTGGCCCTGCAAAAGAGTCCTCTCGGGGTTCCCCCCTTTGCTTGCTTAGAAAAATAAATAACCACATTTTCCTCTTCCCTATTTTTTTTCCCTTTTTTTGATTTAGATCTCTGGATTTGCAGTCCATAATCCTGGTCTTCCTTCCCCCTCAAACTCTAACAATAATCACTTGCCATGGATATTTTAAAGGAACTATAGGATTAGTTAGGACTATAGCAATAGATCTAAATTTTCTTTACCACAACCTGCCATGAGAAATACATTTTATATCTCAAGCTAGTACATGTGCACACACACACACACACACACACACACACACACACACAGTGCAAATGCAACTTTCAGAAAACTAAAGGCAATACATTTCATTTTTAAAAACTACAGGCTGCAAACCACTACACTGATTTCCCAACTCCTTGGGAGTTTGAAAACATGTGCATTAAAAGACCTGGTTGGGGAGTCAACGGGTAGCATGGCGCTGAACTCCCACATGGCTGGTTTGAGTCCTGGACCTGGCAGCTTGCTTTCTCACTTTCCCTTTCTCTCATTCTGTCTCTCTCTTCTCTGGTGAGCACATGTGCCCTACAGCAAATTTTAAAATAATAATAATAAATAAATTCATAGTTTGTTTTTAAAAATAAAAGAAAGAAAGAAATATCTGGTTTCTTCTGACTCTTTTAAAACTCTAGCTTAAAAATGGAAGAAATTAGCTACACAGGGAGGATAACTGTAAGCTAAACTCAACAACTAACATCCCTGGTACCTCGTGTCCAAGAAAACCACCTGGAAACATAAAGAGATATAGCACCAAGTAGGTGTCTTAACTCAGACTCCCATAACCAAATAGAGTAGGTGACTTAGTAACAGAAATTAATTTTCTCACAGTTCTACAGGCTGGAAGTCCAAGATCAAGGTTTTGGCCAACTTGGTTTCTAGCGAGCCCTCTTTCCTGGTCGCCTACTTGCTGTGCCTCACATGGCCTTTTCTCAGTGAGCTCCCTGACGTCCCTCCTTCGAGGGACACTAATGCTCTCAGAACAGGACCCTATCCTTATGACTTACTTAGCCTGAACACTTCTGTAGAAACAGCCTCGCAGGGGTTAGGAACACAACATACAAATGCTGAGGAAACACAAACGTGCAGTCCGCAACAGCAGGGTACTCTGACACGAGCAGCACTCTCAATCCCAAAGGACAAAACTGAGTCTATATATGCACCCTCTCTCAGGACAATCTGAAAATAATCGTACTGAATAATAATAGCCCAGAAAAAGTCAAACTGTGTCATGCCAAAGGCAGAAACTGAAAGGGCAAAATTTAGTGACTGACAGAAAATAGTGCCGAAAGACAGCTGCGTAAACAGCAGACGTAAAAGTCGAGGTTAAGTATCCTGAGACGTGAGGTCACCCTGCTTCATTCCTCAAATCCAACAATAAGGGAAGAAATAAATCTATGTAGAAATGCAAATGGACTCAAAAGGTCATAGATGATCTCAAAAACCCACCACAAGCACAACGAGGCACAGCACTGACTAAGGAGAGCAGGCTGCCGCAGATCCGGGGCCCCGATGGCCGGATGAGCCAGATGGGCTCCCACTATCCGGAACAACACAGGACCCTGTTGTTACTGTTTTCTCATCTTTCCCACGGGGAAAATGACACTAATGAAAACAAAGGTTCTTCAATGCAAATGTTTAAAAAGAGCCCGTTAAAGCTGGCAGATTAAGGCCAGTAGGTGGTATGGAGATTAAAGTGGCTAGATCCCACATGGCCAGCTGGACAGTTCAAGACCCAGACCCAGAGACTTAAAAATATGCCAGGCACGTGAGCATGCGTACCTAAAATCCCAAGGAAAATGGAGGAGAAAGGCTGCAGCATGGCCATCCACCGAAGGGTGACTTGTCACCACTACTCCCCATACCTCTCTAGGAAGGACATGTATCCTATACCAAAATTTAAGGGAAAAAAAAAAAAAAGCAGGCTGACCTTGGGATCTGAGGAACAACATAATGATTAAGTTCCCTAGGTTTTAGTTTTGACTTACATATCCCAGACTGAGCACTGGGAAAAGCTCTAACGGGTACAGATAATAAGCCCCAAGTAAAGGCTGTCCTCACAAGGCAAAGGACAAGGGAAGGGAAGGGCAGCCTATCAAGACAGAAATCTTTTAGACAATAACCACTCTAGACCATGAGAAAAACTGGCCTCATTCTGACCTGGTTAGCAAACTGAGTGGGATTCCTAGACTTCACCTTCACCTAGCAGTAATGAGGCACCTCTACCCACTCTGACTTGCAGGGAGGTGTCCAAAGAGGTGGAGTGGGGAATGCTGACCCTCCCTTCTCATCTATATAGTGTCCCCAAGAAACTCACTTCAATTATGATGGTACAGTAGCTTGAAAGTGAAAGGTTGGAAAAGATATACCATGCAAACAATCAAAAGTGGGGTCTGGATGATGGTGGAATGGTTAGAAAAAAACAATAAATAAATAAAAATTAAAATTCCATGAAGCAGACTCCTCCCCCTGCCATGGGAAGATTCCGGTTTTTTTTTGTTTTTGGGGGTTTTTTTTTTGGGGGGGGGGGGAGGTTTTTACTATAAGGGGGGGGTGTGAGCTCGCCAGACAGACAGAGACATAGAGACAGAAAGCGAGAAATCACCCCCTAGGGCGGATGGTCACGCTGCAATCCCTTCTCCTCCATTCTCCTCTCGGGATCTTGGGCACGCACGCACACGCACCCGGCGTTGAGTTTTAAGCCATCGGGTCCGGGACGCGAACCATGGTCGACTATGTGGGAGTCCAGCGACATAGCCATTACACTAACTGCTGGTTCCCCCGTTTTTGCATCTAGAAACCTCACTGAGTTTGCTGGACAGGCACATGCCCATGGTCCGAGGGCTAGCTAAAATGATGTGGACTGAGGAAACAGGATACTGTTGGGGATACTTCCGTTCTCTCTCACAGAAGAAATACATAAACTTTTAAAAAAAAATCTACAATTGCAGTTAAAGACTCCAATGCTCCTTTTTTTCTTTTTAAATAGATTTTTGCCAAGGGGTGTGTATGCTCACTGGAGAGAGAAAAAGAGAAGGAAAGTGAGAAATCACCCCTGAGGGATGGCCATGCCATGATCCCTTCTCCCCCGTTCTCCTCCTGGGATTTTGGGCATGCAGGTGCCTGGTGTGTTTTTCAAGTCACCAAGTCTGGGTCTCAGATCATGCTGTCGGCTATGTGGGAATCCAGCACCTTAACCACCATGCCATCTGCTGGCCCCAAAGACTGCCTTTTCTATCAAACAGTAGTTTTTAAGGCACTATCTTACCTAAGAAAGTAACAATACATAAAAAGCTGCGGAAATAAAAATCAGTTTTTGGCATTTCTTTTAAGACTCACTTTGCTAAGTTAATTCTCTTTGTGGGTACTATAAAAATTAGCATTTCAAATAGCAGGGGGCTTTCAGTTCTTTGTTGCTCAATGCTCCCAGGAGATATCTTTCTAAGTGTTTAAGTCTTGACAGTTCATAGGCCAGATAAACACAATCTAACTGCAATCAAAGCACGAGAGTCTTCTAACCTCATGTTTGGGACTAGAGTGTGTAAAATTTTAACTGAGCAATTCTCATATTATTAAGTAGCATTAATCTAAGTAATCAAGTAATCTCACTATTAAGGAAGTGAGATTGTGGGGATGGGGCTGTGCGAAAGTAAGCCTTTCACGTCCCAAATTAAGTCGGACTTTATTTGCATGAAAAGCATTTATATGAAAGGTAGCCTATCTTTGACCTTTATTAGCTTTTTTGGTATTAACTTATTGTTATTGTGGTATAATTCATACAACATAAAATTCCATTTTTAAAGTGTATGATTCAGGGCTGGTGGGGTGGTTGAGATGCTAGACTCTCACATGGATGACTGATGTTCAGTTCCTAGACCTGGAGGCTTGAAAATCACACCAGGCATGTGTGCATGCATGACCAAAATCCTGAGAAGAGAACAGAGAGGGGGTTGTGTGGCCATCCGCTCTGAATGGTGATTTTTCACTGTCTCTCTCGGGAGAGTGCACGTGTATTATAGCAAAAACCTAAGGAGAAAAAAAATAAAGTTAAAAAAAATAAAGTGTACAATTCAGTGATTTTTAGTATAATCACAAAGTTGTACAGCCAACACCACTATATAATTCCGGAACATTCTCATCACAAGAAGAAATCCTATACCTATTAGCAGTCATTTCCATCTGCTCTTCTCCCAGCTCCTAGCAACCAGCAATCTACTCTTTGACTATGAATTCACCTATTCTGGACATTTCCTATAACTGAAATCCTATATGTGGCCTCTTATGGCTGGCTTTTTTTTTTTTTTTAACCTAGAACAATATTTTCAAGGTTCATCCATGTGGTTAGTTTTTCTGTGTTTTTGTTTGTTTGTTTGTTTTAGGTTTTTGCCATAGGGCACATTTGCTGGCCAGACAGAGAGAAGTAAAATGAGAAATCACTCCCGGGCGGGGGTCGGGGGGTAGCCACGCCACGATCCCTTCTCCTGCATCCTCCTCTTGGAATTTTGGACATGTAAGAAGTGGACTTTAACTTTGTTAGGCATTATGTACCTAAGAAAGATAATAGATTCAGCTACTTGTTCTGTCTAATAAATGTCCTAAAAGGGAAAAATAGAAACTGTGTCATCAACTAAAATCTCACCTAAATTCTCCAGATACAAGATTCAAAGTGATCTAAAATCTGATAAATACCTCAAAAGTTCTCTGACAATTAGAAATTCACATGGGGATTGTTGACTATTATAGCTTTTCCCTGTCGTTCCAGGAAAGGCCTAGCGGTTATTACAAGGGTGCTTTGCCTTTTTTTTTTTTTTTTTTTTTTAGCATGCACCTTTCTAAAGCTTACAAACCAGAAATGTACCTCAAAATACTTTTTTAAAAAGAAGGCATAGAAAAGAGTTTATGAACCCAACAGACAAAATTTAGCCCCCCCTCCTTTATTTATGACAGACTATGCACATTTACATGTCACAGAA